GGAGTACAGTATTAAAATCTTTATGAATTAATTAGCACTACTAATTAACTTAACAGGTATAATCAATGAAGCTATAAACTAAACACAACCAAAGGTGATAATTACAAGTACCTAGATGTAGGGTTCGAATTTTCAGGCCATCAGCTACCAAAAATGAATGATGGTAAATATATTAGTCTCTATTTATATTTTGCCACAGTTTCTCTTTGTGTCTACAATAAATCATTAATTGCATCATGTTTACCATGTCCATTTTACCAGAGTGAAAAAGGAAAAAAAGTAGAAAAATATAATTCGTATCTTAATTTAACTGGAAGTCTCTCTCTATATATATATGTATTAATGTCACTTTTTGTATTTTTCTTTAAAACCTGTTGCATAAATTTAGCATTTTTTGATGTACACATTTAGAATATAGGTTAATTTGACTTTGCCTAACTTAAAGACAAAGTTCTTTGAGATGAGCTCTGTATTCCCTGATTACCTATGTTTTTTTCTTACAAATTTTATAGATTTTGGATATAATATGTGAATATATAAACAAAATTATCTTTTCTAAAGAAGAAAATATATGTGTAAAATTTAGGAAAAAACAAGAATTGGTAATAAACACTATTATTCAAAAATTTGAAATTCAAATAAAAAGAATTTACGTAACTTCGTTGACTTTGGCTTTTCTATTGTTTGGATGTGGATAGAAAGATACGAATAGGGAATATAACAAACTACTAATTATACAATATCGAATTTTAATAGTTACATAGTGAATGCTCACTCCAGCATAGTACCTCCAGTAAATAGAGGTAAGTGTTTTCCTAATGCAAATTACCACAATAGATGTAATAAGTATACAAATATACACTAATATAATGGAATCAAAAGTTCAAGGTTAATAATTAAATCTATTTAACATTAATATTTTGATACATGTACTTGATTAAACGTATTTGGTTATTGTTATCTTAATTATGATGCAAAGATCCAAGAAGGTTTTGCAGAAATATTAACCTAGTAAGTAAGGAAAATAGAATACAACACCCCATCAAACTATTGAAATATAGTGTAATATAGGTTATATGTGTTTATTTGATGTTTGAATTACTTTAAATTTTTAGTCCAAAAACTTATTAAGATTTAGAGCTTTAAATATTTATTGTATTACAAACCAATCCGTATAGATTATGAATATACTATCTAAGCAATGGTGTACTATATAATTTTCACAATATGACAAACTGCATGCAGACAATTAAAAATAAAAGAGAAGCACTAGAAATCCAAAGTAAAACAAGAAATGAATTTTAAAAAATGACTTACTTCGCTAAGATCCAGGTAACTTTAATGAAAAATATGTAACTTTATGAAGGTGACTTGCTTTTCTTTTGTAGGAATATGGATAGAATGATACGAATATGGGATATCCCAATATACTTATTGTGCGATATCCAGTTTAAATAGTTACAAAATGAATTTTCTCTTCACCATAGCACCAACATTTTAGAGAACTAAATGTTTTCCAAATGGAATTGATCATGATAAATTTAATTAGTATACATACAGGTACACATATATAATAAAAATCAGAGTTTCAAAGTATATAATTAAATTACTTTTTTTAAAAGCCTTTGATTTAACATGTGTTATCTATTTCGACTTATTTGGTAAATGTTATCTTAATTATTGATGCAAAGATCCTAGAAGGCTTCATAGAAATATGAACCTAGCAAGTAAGGAAACTAAAAGAACATTAAAAGTCCATATTTAATTATAATATAATAGAGAATATATTTTTTTCTTTGACCGGTTTGAATTATAATGAATCTTTGCATCAAAATCTTTAAAGGTTAAAACTTAGAGCCAAAATCGTTTATTGTATTACAAAACCATTGTTGTAAATAAGGGATATATTGTCTTAATATTGGAGTACTGTATTATTTTCACAATATAAAAATGCATGTAGGCAACAAAAATACAAGAAAAGCACTTGATATTCAAAGTAAAAAAAAAATAATGAATGGAAATAATAACTAAAGTTTACTTTTGCTTTTCTTTTTAGGGATGTGGATAGAAAGATACGAATATGGAATATCCCAATCTACTAATTATGCGATATCTAATTTCAATAGTTACATTGTAAAATTACTCTTTACCATGGCACCAACATTTTACAGAGTTAAAAGTTTTCCTAATGGAGGGTAACATGAAAAATGTAATTAGCATACAAACAGCTACACATTTATAATAATATCAAAGTTCAACGTTTATGATTAAACTCTTCTGAAAAGCGTTTGATTTAACATATGCTATCTGATTCATTTTAATTGGTTAACGTTACATGTAATGGTGACATTAAATATTGACGAAAAGTTCCTTGAAGGCTTAGAAATATGAACATAGCTAGTAGGGAAACTAGAAGAATACGCCCTATCCAAAGTCTATATTTAATTATACTGTAACATAGATTATTGCTACTTCTTTGATAGTTTGAATTAATATGAATCTTTACTCCAAAATCTTTTAAAGATTTAGAACTATTTTTTGTAGTAAAAAAGCATCGGTGTAAATTATCGATATAATTTCTTATCATTGGAGTACTATATTATTCCCATAATATGAAAGACTGTATCCATGCAAATGAAAATAAAAGACAAACGCTTGAAATTCAAAGTAAAAGAAATAATGAATGAAAAGAGCCTTATTTGGCCCTGAGAATTTCTGAAAAATCAAAACCGATTAGTTTAAGTTGCAAATGCAGTATTTATCACTTGGAGTGTTGGCGAACATGTATCTATTAATCACGGCGTAATTTCACATCTAGTAAATGCATTATGACGTCATAAAATGTGTCATTTTCGTCATATCCTGTAAATTCCTTTGAAAATGACCTAAAGTTGAAGCATTTTTTTCAATATTTTATATAGAGCACAACCTCTGATCCAAAATATGCAAATACATCATGAAAGCTCTGTTTCTAAAGATAAAAAAAAACATGTTTTATTTTTTGGATCGTGGGCTGTGCTCATATTTTAATTCTTTGCTGAAGGTAGTCAAATAGGCATGTTTTCTGCAAATTTCAAGAACATAGCAATTTCTCAAACCTGTTTTCCAAAATCTGGATTCTCAGAACAAAATTTTATAATAGAAAATGAAAGAACCAAGTGTCTACTTTATTTTGATATATGAAATGGGAAAAAAGGGTGATAGTTAATTAATTGATAGAAGCACAGCGCCATAAGATGGCTCTTACTCTTTTTAAAAAAATACTTACCTAGCTAGGATCCAGATAATTTTAATGAAATATACGTACATGTTACTAAATTAAGTTGACATTTGTTTGTCCTTTTTTAGAGATATGGATAGAAAGATACGGATATGGAATATTCCAATCTACTAATTATGCGATATCCAACAATAATACTATGTAATAATAATAACAAAGTGAATGTTCACTCCACCGTAGTACCTCCAGTTAATAGTGGTAAGTGTTTTCCTAAAGCAATGTTACCATGATAGTTGTAAATTTACTTACCTCGTCATTGGTCATTTGGAAAATTATTTTGTTAAAACAAATTCTGATTGCAAACATAAGTACTCTGAAGTTGACATCAAGAAGATGCTTGAGTTTCTGATTGACAATATCTATGTGGTTTTTGGAGACCAGGTATTCCATAATCTATTGGAATTCCCATGCGTACAAATTGCGCTCCGTTATTAGCAGCCTCATTTTGATATACATGTGAAGCAGAATTTATGCAAAGTCTTATGCGTGAAAAGTAGAAAACACTTGCTGCGGCCTTCAACTCGACATTTAGATATATCGACGACGTATTGTCAATTAATAATGATAATTTCCATTCCTACATCAAAACGATATATCCTGGTGAGCTTGAGATAAAAGATACCACAGAGTCCGACACTTGCTTCATATTTGGATATTTTACTCGAAAAAGACACTAATGGTAATCTAACAACCAAGCTATATGATAAACGTGATGATTTTAACTTTTCTATCGTCAACTTCCCTTACTTATGCAGCGATATACCTTCATCACCTGCATACGGAGTATATATATCTCAGTTGATTCGATACGCAAGAGCATGCTCTACGTTTGAACATTTTCTTAAACGAGGTAAATGACAAGCAAGTTGATGAAACAAGAATATCATCAGTCTCGTTTAAAGTCATCATTTCTGTGGTCGATACAATTAATCATTGAGTCAAATGCTGACTGACTTTTTTCATACCAATTTTTAGTCTATTATTTATACACTGAATTGACGACAGATTTTTTTTTCCCGTTATTTCCTGATCATGTCAACGAGCACTCGGCGTGTGTGACCGGTCGGCAGGGGATGCTCACTCCTCAATGGCACCTGATCCCACCTCTGATGTTTTGGAGATCTATGTTTGGTCTGCTCTTATTTTTATGTTGTTTAATGGCCTTTGAAATAGAATACTATTCGTTATCTCCCTATCCTTCATTTAATTAGTATACACACAGATACACATATATAATGGAATCAAAGGTTCAAGGTTTATAATTAAATCTTTTTTGAAAAGCCTTTGATTTAACACTTTTTATCTGATTCGACTTATTCGGTTAATGTTGTCTTAATTACTGATGCAAGGATCCTAGAGGGCTTCTTAGAAAGATGAACCTAGCAAGTAGGGAAACTAGAAGACAACACCCCATCAAATGTATATATGTAATTATAAAATGATATAGACGATAACTATTTCTTTGGTATTTTGAATGACTATGAATCTTTACTCCAAAATCTTTTAAAGATTTAGATTTAGATTTAGAACCAAAATATTTATTGCATTACAAAACCATTGGTGTAGAGATATATTGTGTGAACCTTAGAGTACTGGTTTATTTTCACAATATACAAAATGCATGTAGTCAATAAAAAATAAAGAAATGCACTTGAAATTCAAAGTAAAAAGAAATGCTGAATGAAAATAATAACAAGTTTACTTTCGCTTTTCTGTTTAGGGATGTGGATAGGGAGATACGAATATGGAAACATAGTGAATTATCACTTCTCCATGGTACCCCTAGTTAATAGAGGTAAGTTTTTTTCCTAAAGCAAAGCTACCATGATAGATGTAATTAGTATACACACAGATGCACATAAAAAATGAAATCAAAGGTTAAAGGTTTATAATGAAACCTTTTTTAAAAGACTTTGATTGAACATTTGTTATCTAATCCGAATTATTTCATCATATAAAGTTTTTATTTAATTAAAAAATAATATAGATTATATACTGAAAGGAAAAAGAAATGCATATTATACTTTTAAATTGAATTAAAACTATTATTTCGAAAATACTTCCAGTATTGTTATCAAACATTTTAATTCATCTTTAATCCACAAGTAACCAAAATCTTGTGTGACTTTGACTGATAATTCCTGAGTTATTGAAATTGATATGTCGATACCCCCCAAAATTAAAATTAAAATTCTCATAATCTCTCTTGCACATTGGTAACAGCCTTGATTTTCCTGTGCATTGAGTTCACCAGAGCATTTATCTTTCTCATAAAATTATTATTCAACCCTTCCGACAATAGTCTTAATGATTGAGAGTAGCTGTATTATTCCAAAGCTAACAAATCCCCCCGCCAAAGGAGTGCCACGAATTTTGTTTTAGGATAGAATTTAGAGAATCAAGCTGGTTTGGTACACGTAAATGTTTGTGAGAAAGTCTCGACAAACACTGGCTACATTTTCTTTGTGTAAACATGCTAAAAACATTACGCACATGACGCGTACGTGCGCGCGTGAGAGTGAAATCGACGTAAAAGTTGCCAAACTCGCGTACCAAATTAGAGCAGAGAATTTCTGACAATTTTAGGGTGAAAATATTGGTATGATAGTATGCTGTATAAATATCGGTTTCAGTGATAATACCTTGACAATAACCGAGTTGACATGATGAAAAGCCCTATCTAGATGTGACGTTGTTACGCGTCAACGTCACCGTCATGGTTGGTTGGAAACCTTTTAAGTTACTCTCTGACAACTGAAAAACCATTTTTTGTTGAGAAGTTTAAAACAAACTGCACAGCAACATGTTGTTGCCTTTTTATTCACTTACACAATTCAATTACTGGAACCAGTGTAACTTCCGTCAGCCATACCATGATTGCACGAAATTTATACTGATTGCAAATGCGGAAAACGATGTCTATAACTCTAATGCATCGATTAGCACTACAAAATGTGATCATAAAATTGTCATCATGAACATGCACATGTTTTTGGCTTTTTATCACTTCCCCTACGTGATGCCATACATTTCATGGTTGAGTAGTTTTGACCAGCAATTTTGGTGCAAAGTCAGAAAAATGCATATATGACCAATTTTCATAATTTTCGGCCACATAGTCAAAGATTTTTCGCATATTATGTTCTTATGCGTTTCTTTTTCCTTTCAGTATGTATTTCTTTGACCGGTTTAAATTACGATGAATATTTTATGAAGATGCTCTTATTAACTTAACTAAAATCATTTGAATTGTTTTGATGTGTCATTAACTTTATATAGCTATTGATTACTTTTGTACTTTTTTTGGTTACAGATGGACATGAAAAATGACGATTCTGATATATCTGAATGGAACGATTCTAAGCTATAAAATCGATTTATTGTTTTAGTATTATCTCACAACACTTGGGCACGTCCAGTTTTCAGGAAAACTGTTTCCCTCGGGGAACCATAAATTTGCTATTTCCCACTTACCTATTCCCTAATTATATAATATCAAATGTTCAAAAGTTATTCTTAAGAATACGTTTGGCTAAGGTCTGCTCTGTTAATTAAAGGTTTGCGTATTATTGATTTCAAAACCCTTGAAAGGCTTTATAAAAATATCACTTTATCAAGTCTGGTAACTTGAAGTCAACTCCCTTTTAAAAATCTATAATTCATTATAGAATATTTTATTTAACTATAGTTTTTTCTTTGATTGTTTGAATTACTTTGAATGGTTACTTAAGAAGTTTTAAAACTATTAGAGGCTCAATATTTCTCATGATTCATAATAAATGTTGGAAGTCCATTATATTTAGCATGAACATAAGAGTAATATTTTCTTTTACAATACGAAAAATTGCTTGTATGCAATCAAAATAAGAAATAAAATTTAAATAAAAAAAATACATTGATGAATTATGATAAAAAAACTTTGATTAACTAAATTAAAACCCATTGTCTTGTACAAAAGTAATATTATTTTTATGAAGCTATTGGTCACTTTTGTATTTTTTTCAGATATGGACATGGAAAGTGATTATTCCGATATACCTGAATGGGAAAAATCTGAGCTTTCCGATTCAGATGGTAATTTAGTATTATTTTTTATATATAATTTATTATGAAACTTTAATGAAGATGCTCTGTAGAGATTTTGAACCTTGATATTTCTCGTATTACATAATCTTTGTTGTAATTTCTTATCAAAATAAAAAGAAATTGCATGAAGGCAATATATATCAAATAAAAAAAATATTGAAATGCGACGTAACAATATTTTTATTAATTGTAATAAAAATTCTTATTAAATGAACTATAATCTTTTGAAAGTATTGAGTTATTTTATTTTTACACAGCTATTTACTATTTTTGTTTCTTTTATGTTAGAGATGGACATGAAAAGTGACGATTCCGATATTCCTGAATGGAACGATTCTGAGCTATCCGATTCAGATGGTAATTTAGTATTATCTCACAACACCTAGCAACCTCAATTTTTCAGATATAAATTATACATATATCACATGGCTTCTATGGTGACATACCAGAATATTTGCCTCGAAGTGACAGGAAAGCCCTGGAGTGTTATGTCACCCAGTGCCAAAGGCAGAGGGTGACATAACACTCCAGGGCTTTCTTATCACCGAGGGCCAAATATACAGGTATAGTCGCCCGAAGAGCCATGTGGTATTTGTTATATGACATTTTTAAAATTGAAAGGAACTTTAAAATCATTTAAAATCGTTAAAATGTACACATATAATCCAAAAATGGCTACTTAACGTTAAGAAATACGCTGTGTTTTTTACTTTTGCTTAGCAACCGAAAATCATAAAATCTCGAACCCGAACTAACGTAACGTAATGTAAAAACACGTGTACGTGATTGAAAGGATGACATAACTGTTTCCGTCGGGGGTGACGTAACTGTTTCCAATGAATTCCCATTATTCAGGGTTTTTAGCGAAACTTATTAAATTATTACATTTGTGATATTATAAGAAAACTTATTCAAACATGTTATATAATTTAATATCAAATGTTAAAACGTTATTCTTAAAAAATCATTTGTCTTAGATTTACTATTTTAACTATTGGTTTGCTTATTATGGATTTCAATGCCCTTGAAAGGCTTCATAAAAGTGACACTCTACCAAGTCTTGTAACCTGAAGTGCGCTCCCATTTAAAAATATATACTCAATTATAGTATATTTTATTTAAGAAGGATATGGAGATAACGAACAGTACCCAATCTCAAAGTCCATTAAACAATATACAAAATAAGAACAGGGAAACCACGGACCGCCAAAACATCAGAGGTGGGTTCAGGTGCCATGGAAGAGTGAGCATCCCCTGCCGACCGGTCACACCCGCCGTGTGCTCATTGTCATATTGTCATATCAGGAAATAACGGGGGAAAAAATTCGTCGTCAATTCAGTGTATAAATAATGGACTAACAATTGGTATGAAAAACGTCAGTCAGCATTTGACTCGATGATTAATTGTATTTGCTGACATGTTTCTTGTATCGACAAAAGAACTTAAGAAATGATGACTTTAAACGAGACTGCTGATATCCTTGTTTCACCAACTTGCTTGTCAATAATTTACCTCGTTTAAGAAATTGTTCATACGTAAAGCATGCTCTTGCATATCGAATCAACTGAGATATATATACTCCGTATGCAGACGACGAAGGTATATTGCTGCATAAGTAAGGGAAGTTGACGATAGAAATGTTAAAATCATCACGTTTAACATATAGCCTGGCTGTTAGATTACCATTAGTGTCTTTTTTAAGTAAAATATCCAAATATGAAGTAAAAGTGTTGGACTTTTTTTATCTCAAGCTCACCAGGATATATAGTATCGACGTAGGAATGGAAAGTATCATCATTAATTGAGAATACGTCGTCGATATATCTAAATGTCGAGTTGAAGGCCACAGCAAGTGTTTTCTTCTTTTCAAGCATAAGACTTTGCATAAATTCTGCTTCATATGAATATAAATATAAATCTGCTAATAACGGAGCGCAATTTGTACACATTGGAATTCCAATAGATTGTTGGAATACCTGGTCTCCAAAAACCACATAGATATTGTCAATCAGAAACACTAGCATCTTCTTGATGTCAACTTCAGAGTACTTAAGTGTGCAATCAGAATCTGTTTTAACAAAATAAAATTGCAAATGACCAATGACTAGGTAAGTAAATTTACGAGTTCCATTTTTATTGAAGAAGCAGCTGTCAATGATATCAAAAAGCCTTGATTTTAATTTGTCGTGGGGAAAGTCTAAATTCAAAATTAAAAATACATCGATAAATCATAATAAAAAAAACTTACTTTAACTATAATGTTTTGCCTTTTATTGATGTTTTACTAACTTAATAAAGCTATCATTTACTTTTGTATCTTTTTTGCTAGAAATGGACATGGAAACTGACAATTCCGATATTCCTGAATGGAACGATTCTGAGCTATCCAATTCAGATGGTAATTAAGTATTATCTCACATCACCAGGACACCTCCAGTTTTCAGATATATATAATTTAATATAAAATGTTGAAATATTCTTCTTAAACTCATTTTAAAAAACATAAGAATTTGTTTGTTTTAGGTTTACTGTCTTAATCAATGGTTTTGCTAATTATTAATTTAAAGACCCAAGAAATGTTTCATAGAAATGCCACCATAGCAAGTCTAACTTTAAAAAATCTTAACTTAAATATAGTACATATATGTATACCATATAAAACTATGGCTATTTCTTTGATTGTTTCAATTACTTTAAATCTCTACTCATTAAGATTTTTAGATAAGTTATTCAAACTTCTGTTTGATTATTATTGGTGTAAAGGACCGTCAATAATGACGATGAATTATTTAGAAAATGATTAACTACACTCTGTAAAGTCCTTGTTTATCTAATTAACTTTAACTAAATCTAGTAAGTTAAATACTATTTTCTTTTCCTTTTGTTAGGGATGGATATCGGCAGTGATGACAGTTATGATTCAGGAATACACGAACCTAATGATTTTCATCTGCCTTTTTCTAACTTCACCACGGCATCTCCAGTTTACAGAAATAAGTTTGTCGCTAATGGAATTAACCGTGATGGAAGTGGTTAGTGTACATACTAATATAGCTATAGAATTATTGCATTTTCCTTTTATTTAAGCTAAAACGATGGCTAAGCTACCGAGGGAGCAAACTAATCATCCAACCCTCAGGGACTGTATTTGAATGAGACTGAATCATTGTATTGACTAAAAAAGCAAAATTTGATTAATATATGGTTTAATGATTAAAGTTGAACATACAATCTCAATTAGCAGTTTATAGCTATTGTAAACATTAACTGTTTGCCAAAAGTAACGAGGTAAACAGGGTTGAATTAACATTACAGTAGAAATCTATTTGAACATTTTGAAATTCAATTTAGTTGAAATTTTATTTGCTGTAAAAAACATAAGTATTTTTATAGGAAAATTTTTGAAAAGGAGGAGGATTTGCAGACAAAAAAATTGACCAACCCCTATGAAAAAGGAGACCATTCTCTTAAATAAATTGCCTTTGTGGGTTGAGGTGGTGCTGATGGAGAAGGATTTAAATTAATTAGTGTGGACCAGTCCTTTCAATTGAATTTTTTAACCTAAATCATAAGTAAAAGTTTACATTTAGAGAAAAGGTTGTATTGTAGGACCCATCCTCCACAACATCCCCCATCCATAGTCATGCATTGCATAATCTTATGCTCACCAAAATAAGGGTCGTAAGCGAGTGAAATATAAGTATGTTCATGTAGGTGTGCTTGTGTATGTGTGTGCCTGAGAGGGTTTATGTGTGAAATAGGATGTGTGAGGGTATGTGCGGATACAAAGGTATGTGTGTGTGTGTGTGTAGAATTTAAAAACCTGACAGTGCTTCATACGATAATTTAGTATTATTCATTATATATAATTTAGAATGAAACTTTAATGTACATGCTCTGTAAAGATTTTGAGCCTTGATATTTCTCGTATTACATAATGTTTGTTTCAATTTCTTTTTAAAATAAGAAAAATTGCATGTGTGAGTGTATAATTTAAAAGCCTAACAGTGCTTCACCTGTTCCAGATGCAGGATGTCAACAGGAGAATATTATTCAAGCTATTCAAGAGACTGGAGCTAAACAAATAAATGTTAATTAACAGAGATAGCCTAAAAGTAAAATAGACACAATGCCAGCTGTATTTTTTTTTACCAACTCTAATGTTAACAATTCCTAAAGAAAGCAATCTTAATGATTTGCAAAAATTTGAACATCATTTGTTGATTAACAAAGTAGATACAGAATTAAAAATTCTTCATAATATAAACAAGCATCATGCCTTTTTTGTTAAAGTATAGAAAATACCGTCTTTGTAAGAAAACGCGATCAAGTAAATACACTCTGTAGAGTTGCGAAGTAAGGAGTCAATTTTTACGTCGCGGGTTCGAATCCCACTATGGGACGTGAAGACCGGTCCTTCGGATGAGATCGTATAAACCGAGGTCCCGTGTCGCAGTAGGTGCTGGCACGAAAAAGATCCCTCCCTGCTCAATGCCTCTGAGTGCAGAGTATAGGACAAAATTTGGAGCTCTTCTCCGGCAAATGGTGGCGTCTCCATATGAGTGAAAAATTCTCAAGAGGGACGTTAAGCAATATACAATTAATCAATCAATCTTTATTGAAAAAACTCTGCTTTTAAGGGACTCCGATCCCCAGCCAGGAAGGACAACTCTTTAATTTATTATTTAATTCAAAAAGTCTCAAAATGAAGCTTGAAAATTATATCTTTTCATGCAACAATTTTCATTATATACCTCTCAATGGGCTTCAAGGTTCTTTGAAGTTATCAGAAAGGTCTAATTAAAAGTCAAGATTTTTACCCCTTAAAAGCATTTTGAAATTGCTTATATCAAGAAAATGATGTTCATTTTAATCTTACCATAGATACCAATGTTTATTTACATGATATGAGATTAGACGCGATTTATGGAACTTTCCAGTGTCAGGAAAATCTTTATACACATTGCATTGTAAAATTATCGAAGTAAATAAAAGAAAAATTAAAGTACAATATATGCATAGGAATTGTGGAATTTCTTGAAAAACATAACACACGTCTTGTTTACATATTAACGGTTGGGAGCTAAAAATCTGACTTGTATCTCGACCCTAACAAAAAAGTACTATAGTTAACTATAGTTTACTATAGTTAACTATAATAAATCAAAGTGTCAAAGTTATCACTATAGTAAATCAAAGTTTTCACTATAGTAAATCAAAGTATTTTACTATGAATTTCAGATAAATAAATTTTATTTTTTAAACATCCTACACATACTTTATTGAAATTAAAATGAAGTATTCCAAGTATTTTAACATATTTTATCAAAAAAGTACATCATTAATATGTAATTTGAGATATATTAAGGCTTTAAATCTTCAAAAAAGTCCTAGAGTAAAGTTTCATAGTAAATCAAAGTTTCAAAGTTTTCACTATAGTTAACTATAGTAAACTATAGTTAACTATAGTAAATTTTTGTTAGGGGACAACCGAAATTCAGATTGTTGATGATCTTTGGAAACATCTTTCTTAATTATAAGTATTTGTAAACATAAAAAAATGGAAATTGAACTTGAAATGATGCCATATCTTTTTGTTTTGCGATTTGTGCAATTTTTGTATCCTTTTTTTTTTTTTTAGATAACTTGAATTTTTAAATGGATTTTTACTTAGACGTTTGCTTTTGAAAGTAATTTTGTTTGCATTCCTTGTCATTTGATGCCAGACCATTTTGCGTTGTTCTTGTTTATCAATATTGTTATTACATTAAATGTTTATAATATGTATATTTATGATCAACTGTTTTGTAACATTACTTTAGTCACTGATGAAGATGTTCAGGAGAATGCTGGTCAAGCTGTCCAAGAAAATAAAGGTAAAAATGAAAATTTTAATTCGATCAACAGAGATCGCCTTAAGTGCTCCTGTGATTTTCATAACTTTAAGTATTGCCATTTCTTTTTTTTATCTTGCAATTTATATAAATTCAATTTAGGCGTAAAGTTTGGTGAATTAGGTGGTGAAAGCAGCTCGAATGCTCCTGAATGCTCTTTCTTTGGTCGCTTACTTTTGAAAGCAATTTTTAAAACTGCTAAATCTTGTTTCAATCCCATGTCATTTGACGCGTTGATTATAATTCTTTTGCATCATTATTCTCTATATTATTAGGATATTTTATGTTTGATACATAAATACATGTAAAATCAATTGTTTTTTATGCTGATGCAGAAACCCAAGAAGGCATTGATAGAAAGGATCTCCCAATAGGAGTACCTGCCAGAGGCATGGATAACTGCAATCACAATGACCCAACAGAACAAGAAACCCTTGGTCTTCAAGGAAATGCGATCATACCAATTCAGAAAGGAAGAAATCAACAAGCGTACAGTGCTTCACTTGTTTCATATGCTGGATGTCAACAGGAGAATATTATTCAAGCGGTTCAAGAGACTGGAGGTAAACAAATAAATGTTAATTTGATTAACAGAGATTGTCTTAATATTCAGTTGATTTTCTCAACTATAAATGATACTATACTGTAAACCAACTTTTAATATTATATTTACATTTCGTATAAATTTCTCCTAAGATTCTATACAAAACAGAATACGGTTCATTTTCTCATGAACAACCATGAATGAGCTTGAATATCTTCATTGTTAGGTCATGATACTGCAGTCGGCATAAAAATATAGTTCAAGCTGTTTTGCTTTAAAAATGACAATTCAATGGCCTAAATTTTTGACAACTCATCAGAGAAATAATGTAAATATAAGAAATGAATTTCATTTTTGAAGATTCATGAGGTATATGAGCTACAACGTTTCCCGCCTGCATATTTATTATGAAGCGCGTTAAATTCAATTCTTAACTGAACTTAAAATGACTCCTTTTCATTTTGTCGTGGGATTTTTGCAATTTTCATTGTTTCTTATTTTTTTTAAGCTGATGAAGAAACTAAGGAGAATGATGGTCAAACAATCCAAGAGAGTGGAGGTAAAAACAAATACTAAACCAATAAACAGAGATCTTTTTCAATGTTCGGATGATTTGCTTTTTAATTTTATATGAAACCAATTTTTCCTTGTATTTTGTAGGAGTACCTGCCAGAGTCATGGATAACTGCAATCACAATGACCCAACAGAACAAGAAACACTAGGTCTTCAAGGAAATGCGATCATACCAATTCTGAAAGGAAGAAATCAACAAGCGTACAGTGTTTCACCTGTTCCATATGCTGGATGTCAACAGGAGAATATCATTCAAGCTGTTCAAGAGACTGGCGGTAAATAAATAAATGTTAATTTGATTTACAGAGATTGTCTTAAAATTCAGTTGATTTCTCAACTTTAAATGATACTACATTGTATATATTTTTGTAGTTCAATTTGTGCAATTTTCAATTTTTGCTTTTTGATTGCTTTTTCATAAATACTTTAAGCTAGACCGTGACTTTTGAAGGGTTAAGGCGAGTGCTTTATAATTCACATAGATACATATCCCAGCTACAAAACCTTTATTTGGTTTCTTTGGAAACCAACAACTTTCATCCTTTGATCTTGACTATGGAATTTGACCTACCTTTCAAAAAATTATCGTTGGCCATAACTTTTGAACAGGACTCTGTATTTCGTTTTGAAAAGACTTACTTTAGGTACCAACATATTAGTTTGCACTTAAGAAAAGTTAATCTTCGATTTGGTGCCTGCAGGTGCATAAGTGTTTTACAAACACATCTTGTTTTAAAATGAAATGTGTTTTGAATTTGTAAATTGTTCTCTCCGTAAACGCCTTCTTTTGAAAGTAATTTATAAGAATTTAATTTTTGGCTGTCCATGTCATTTGATGCCTGGTTTAAGTTGTTTTGCATTGTTCTTTCTTGATCTATACTGTTTAGACATTAAAGAGCTATGTGTTGTATGTCTATTTTTTTTATAATCTTACTTTAGTCACTGATGAAGAAAGCCAGGAGAACGTTGGTAAAGCTTTCCAAATAGAGTGGAGGTAAAAACGGAAGGTTAATTGCATCAACGGTGATCATTTAATTTCTCTACTTGAAATGATTCCATTTTCTTCTTTCATGCGATTTATATATTTGTTTTTATTATCTTACTTTAGCAAATGATGAAGAAACCCAGGAGAATATTGTTAAAGCTATCCAAGAGAGTGGAGGTAAAAATAGTGAATTCAATAAACAGACATCGTTAATATTCAGGTTATTTTATCAGCACGGAAGGATAATAATGGAAAATGGAGTTGGCATTTTTATGTACATTAGTTTTAGCTCACCTGAGCCGAAGGCTCAAGTGAGCTTTTCTGATCACATTTTGTCCGGCGTCCGTCTGTTTGTCTGTCTGTCTGTCCGTAATCTTTTCACATTTTCGACTTCTTCTCAAGAACCGCTGGGCCAATTTCAACCAAACTTGCCACAAAGCATCCTTGGGTAAAGGGGATTCAAGTTTGTTCAAATGAAGGGCCGCGCCCTTTTCCAAGGGGAGATAATTATGAATTAGTGAAAAATTATTGGCATTTTTAAAAAAATCCTCTTCTCAAGAACCACTGGGCCAGGAAAGATGAAACTCATGTGGAATCATCCTCAGGTAGTGTAGATTAAAGTTTCTTCAAATCATGACCCCCGGGGGTTGGGCGGGGCCAAAATGGCCGACCAAACTTTTACATAGAAATATATAGGAAAATTCTTTAAAAATCTTTTTCTCAAGAAATACAAAGCCATGATTGGTCTTATTTATATGGACGCATTCTCAGGTAGTGTAGATACACGTTTGTTCAAATCATGACCCCCGGGGGTAGGGCGGGGCCACAATGACCGACAAAACTTTTACATGAGAAATATATAGGAAAATTCTTTTAAAATCTTCTTCTCAAGAATAACAAAGCCATATTTTATCATATTTATATGGAAGCATCCCCAGGTAGTGTAGATTCAATTTTGTTCAAATCATGTCCCCTGAGGGTAGGGTGGGGCCACAATGGTCGACCAAAGTTTTACATAGAAATATATAGGAAAATTCTTGAAAAATCTTCTTCTCAAGAAATACAAAGCCATGATTGGTCATATTTATATAGAAGCATCCTGAAGTAGTATAGAATCAAGTTTGTTCAAATCATGATCCCCAGGGGTAGGGCGGGGCTACAATGGCCGACCAAAGTTTTACATAGAAATATAAAATTCTTCAAAAATCATCTCCTCAAGAATAGTAAAGCCATGATTGGTCATGGGACTTCTTTTGGATTAAAACTTTTCAATAATAAACCAGTTTTCTACTTTTTCCTAGCCACAGTGCTCAGGTGAGCGATGTGGCCTATAGGCCTCTTATTATTTATTTTTCTGTTTTAATAAAAGACGACATTTCCTTTTTTGTCTAAAATTTGACAGGGTAAACATAAAAGAAATCTAGATATTGAAAATTTTTCATTTTTACACCTTTTTTTTTAGCTCACCTGAGCCGAAGGCTCAAGTGAGCTTTTCTGATCACATTTTGTCCGTCTGTCCGTCCGTCCGTCTGTAAACTTTTCACATTTTCGACTTCTACTCAAGAACCACTGGGCCAATTTTGACCAAACAAAGCATCCTTGGGTGAAGGGGAATTTAAATTGTTAAAATGAAGGGCCAAGTCCTCTCACAAGGGGAGATAATCAAGAAAAGACAAAAATAGGGTGGGGTCATTAAAAAATCTTCTTCTCAAGAACCACTGGGCCAATAAGGCTGAAACTTATGTGGAGGCATCCTGGGATAGTGTAGATTCTAAATTGTTCAAATCATGACCCCTCGGGGTTGGGCGGGGCCATAATGGGGAATCAAAGTTTTACATAGAAATATATAGGACAAATTTTTAAAAATCTTCTTCTCAAGAACCACTGGGCCAGAAAAGCTGAAACTGATGTGTAAGCACCCTGGGGTAGTGTAAATTCTAAATTGTTCAAATCATGACCCCCAGGGGTAGGGCAGGACCACAATGGGGAATCAAAGTTTTACATAGAAATATACAGGAAAAATATTTAAAAATCTTCTTCTCAAGAACCACTGGGCCAGAAAAGCTGAAACTCAAGTGGAAGCACCCTGGGATAGTGTAGATTCTAAATTGTTCAAATCATGACCCCCGGGGGTTGAGCGGGGCCACAATGGAGAATCAAAATTTTACATAGAAATATATAGGACAAATTTTTAAAAATCTTCTTCTCAAGAACCACTGGGCCAGAAAAGCTGAAACTGATGTGTAAGCACCCTGGGATAGTGTAAATTCTAAATTGTTCAAATCATGACCCCCAGGGGTAGGGCAGGACCACACTGGGGAATCAAAGTTTTACATAGAAATATATAGGAAAAATATTTAAAAATCTTCTTCTCAAGAACCACTGGGCCAGAAAAGCTGAAACTCATGTGGAAGCACCCTGGGATAGTGTAGATTCTAAATTATTCAAATCATGACCCCCGGGGGTTGAGCGGGGCCGCAATGGAGAATCAAATTTTTACATAGAAATATATAGGAAAAATCTTTGAAAATCTTCTTCTAAAGAACCACTGGGTCAGAAAAGCTGAAACTGATGTGTAAGCACCCTGGGATAGTAAAGATTCTAAATTGTTCAGATCATGACCCCCGGGGGTTGGGCGGGGCCACAACGGGGCATCAATGTTTTACATAGAAATATATAGGAAAAATCTTTGAAAATCTTCTTCTCAAGAACCACTGGGCCAGAAAAGCTGAAACTGATGTGGAAGCATTGTGGGGTAGTGTAGATTCTTAATTGTTAAAATCATGACCCCCGAGGGTTGGGCGGGGCCACAATGGGGAATCAAACTTTTACATAGAAATATTTAGGAAAAATCTTTGAAAATCTTCTCAAGAACCACTGGGCCAGAAAAGCTGAAACTGATGTGGAAGCACCCTGGGGTAGTGTAGTTCTAAAGTGTTCAAATTATGACCCCCGGGGGTTGGGCGGCGCCACAATGGGGCATCAATGTTTTACATAGAAATATATAGGAACAATCTTTGAAAATCTTCTTCTCAAGAACCACTGGGCCAGAAAAGCAGAAACTGATGTGTAAGCACCCTGGGATAGTGTAGATTCTAAATTGTTCAAATCATTACTCCAGGGAGTAGGGCGGGGCCATAATATGTATTACAAGGGGGAAATCTGGTAAAGAACAATATGACAAAAGATTCTCAGGTGAGCGATGTGGCTCATGGGCCTCTTGTCTTTAATAAAACGTGAACAATGATACATACATGCATATGTCTACCTTACTCAATATATATTTTTACAAATAGAACTTTATTGTTTACTATAGGTCTTGCATCATGAAATGCATCTTACATTAAAAAAATTTAAATTTTTGCATAACTCTTACCCCTATTGCATTCAATCTTGCCTGATTAATGATGCATGCATATAAACGTTAACATTCATTATGTGACAGAACTACTGCTTACCAATAGATAATTTTTCTCAAAGTGATCTTAGTAAACTTTGAATAATGGACTTAATTCTTACTTGTAGAAGTACTGGGGCAGGGGTATTCCGATGTTGATAATGATGAAAGCGATGATGCTTCCGATGGGAATGCTTCTTCAGATGCCGATTCTTGGTCAAGGATACTGTTCTATTAAGACACAAGTCTTAATAGCAATCAAGAGATGAACGAAAAAAAAACTTTTGCTATCGGCCCAGGCCAAAACATTTATTAATTTGTCATATGTACTAGGAACACGTGCTTTTGTTTATTATGTGCTAATAAAAGCGACAGTAGCTATTGGTCAGTATTTAAAGGCCGATACCTGTAGAACAGGTGAACAGGTATTCAATTGGATCACGCTTTTAACTCATTCGAAGGTTTTGCTTTGCGACATTCACACTCACCCACCCACCCTCTTAATTCACCCTCTTGTATTTTGTTTTGAAAAAAAAGTTTATTTAAACGATTGATCAAATTGCTTTAATCACTAGAAAATAAATGTTTTGTACACAACGGATTAATTGTCAAAGATGGGAAACAATTTGCTAAGTCGCTCTAGATAAATAAATTTTATGTAAAATTTTATATAAATGTAAGATTGTGTATTGGTACCTATTAGCTACATATAGTCACAATGTGTTTACAGACAATTCTAACTTACATTTATTTTGCATAGGTTTTACTTAAACTAGTCGATTAATTGTACATTATAATTTAGGACACTTGCGTAAGTTTGTGAGAATGAGTCCGCCATTCATTTTGTTTACCTCGTAATTGCTGCGGACTTACAGGTTTCCATAGTTTTTTCAACATAAATCGATGTTGTTTTTTATCTATGGTTTTTCCTGGGCGGCGAGGGAAGCATAATTATATTCATACATGTTTTATTTTATGTTTTTAATCAGTGAAGTGAGGAAATATAAAAGCATTGTGTTAAAATGCATTTTGTACTGTGATGTGTGATTAATTATTTTTTGATATATTGTAGAAGGAAGGTAGAGAATCGGTACCATTGAAGACTTGTGTTTTGTAAATGGATACGTCTAATAAATACTGGCAAGCAAGCGCTTCTATTCCTATATAGACAAGTGTTCTTGTTTTGATTGTAAATAATTTATGTTTGTTTGAGTGAAACGCATTAGAACATAAATGCTGTTTAATAAATACTGCATGCTTCATAAATTTTGCTACAGTATCTTACTTCTTAATTCTGCTTAATTGTACTTTACTGACAAAACAAAACATCTTTCAACAAGTGTTAATAACCATGATTTTATGTTTCTTTCTGGATTGTAAACCTGTGACTCTCAATATGTAACTCTTCTTTACTTACAACTGTTTTGTACTTATAAGTAGAATTTCTTCATAAATAGAGAACATGCAGAACAAAAGTCTTTTTCATTAATAATTGTTGGTGGTTATGCAAGTCAGGTTTTAACAAAAGGTTTGAAGCCATTGTTCCTTCTAAAATCACATGTGACTTTGTTCCTACAAAATCTGACATGTCATGTCAACAAACGAAATCAACTTGGACAGTTTCCAATTGCAAAACTTAAAGCTTGATGCCTTGATAGAAGGTAGTGTTATTTAATAAAATTCAAGGGAGTTATAGAAATCAATTAAGACAAAACAACATGTGTTTGTGAAATACTGATGTGCCCGTATGCCTGCTTATGGTGAGGATTGATTTTTCGCAAATGTTTTCCAAAGGTCAAAAGTCTGGGTACCCAAAGGAAGGCCTTATTATAAGGAATATTCCTTAGAAATATGAAAGCCATAGATCTACATGTAACTGTTCAAAAGTTATGACCAAGATTTAAGTTTTTAACAAGAGGTCCAGGGGCCACATCGCTCACCTGAGCAACTGTCTTTGTAAAACTAAAAGCAAGAATCCGTTCAGTATTGAAAAGTTTAAATATAAAAGTGGGTTCAAGGGAGGAGGCGGAGGTGGGTATTTGAACACACTTCAATATATACTTCCTACTGATACTTTTAAATAAATGTTACGTATTTGCTGCTTATAAGATGATAAATTTTATTGATATAGCCCTTATAATTCTGAGTATAACTATGATCTACTTTCATGACTCCTCTTTTTTCCTGGTTGGTCATGATTTAAACAAATAATCTACACTTCTCGAGGATGCTTCCATATAAGAACAATCGCAGCTTTGTTGTTCTTGAAAAGAAGATTTTTAAAGGTTTTTCCAATTGATTCCTATGATAGACATTGATACCCGATTGTGGCCCCATTCTATCCCCGGGGGTCATGATTTGAACAAAATTGAGTCTACACTACCAGGGGATGCTTCCACATTAGTCAATTTTTATGACCCAGTGGTTCATGATTATAAGATTTTTTAAAAGATGTTCCTTTTATGTTCCTATGTTAAACTTTGACCCCAATCATTGCCCCACCCTACCCCTGGGGGTCATGATTTGAACAAACTTGAATCTATACTACCTGAGGATACTTCCACTTTCATTTTTCTTGACCCAGTGGTTCTTGAGAAGAAGAATTTTAAAGATTTTCCCTGCATATTCCTATGTTAAATTTGATCCCAGATTGTGGCCCCATCTACACCCGAAGGTCATAAGTTGAACAAAATTGAATCTACCCTACAAGGTAGATGATGCTTCCACATGAGTTACATTTTTCCTGGCCCAGTGGTTTTTGAGAAGACGGTTTTTCAAAGATACCATCAATTTTTTCACTAACTCATAATTATCTCCCCTTCGCAGAGGGCGTGGCCCTTCATTTGAATAAACTTGATTCCCCTTTACACATGGATACTTTGTGTCATGTTTGTTTAAATTTGGCCCAGTGTTCTTAAGAAGATGATGAAAATGCGAAAGATTCACGACAACGACACCAACATCGATGACGACAGATAACGGAAAAATTTTGATCAGAAAAACTCACTTGAGACTTCGGATCTGGTGAGCTAAAAAGTAGTTTAACTTCTTAAGTTCAAGGTCAAAAATCAAAAATATTTATACCCACTGTACATGTCCAAATGTTATGGCCAAGGTTAAAGTATAGTATTTTTTGTCAAAGAGATCAGACAATAGGTCAAACCAAGAGGTCAAATTTTGTGAAACCCAAAGAAAGGTCTTGTCACAAGGAATACCCCTGTGAAATTAGAAAGCCACAACCCCATCCATTCAAAAGTTATGGGCAACGTTAAAGTTTATGCGGACCAATTAGACAAACAAACAGACAGAAAACTATACAGACAGACGGACGGACAGGGCAAACATTATACGCCTATACGTTCTTTTAGTCAGGCATAACAAATGGGGGAAAATAAATAAAAAATAGCAGTTTCGCTGTTCTACAATGGTACTTAATTTAACAATAAAACTCAGAATCAAACTTGCAATGTAGTGTTACGTTTTTATGCTAGTATATAAATTTTAAAAATATAATTGATTGAAAATGCTCATTTTAATCCTCATTACTTTTGATGGCTGAGTCTAACCTCCTTCAACCTTTTTTTTTATTATAAATTCTCGACAGAATTCTTCAGTTATTTCCTGATCATGACAAGGAGCACCCGACGAATGTGACCGGCTCAGCGAGGGATGCTCTCTCTTCCATGTCAAATGATCACGTCCTTGATGTTTAAATGTACGTGTTTGCTCTGATCCTCATGTATTGTTCAATAGGCTCTTGAGCTTTAAAGATGCATGGACATAGATTTGAGCACGATTGCCACTTTTCCTAAGCATTAAGAAAAAAATCTAAAATCTGTGAGAGTGCAAGGATGTCGTAATAAAATCTGTCTAGAAATTTGAAGTTTTAATAACTTTTAGATAAAATTTTGATCCATTTTTCTGTGAAATGCTATCAAAATACATAAGTCGTGATATTGTACAGAAAATATTAACTTCAAATACGTTATCTTTATTTATCCCATGTTTAATCTTTTATCTTATTAATATGACTCATTGATATTTTTTATATCTCACTGATAAGTGCAATTGTAACGTCACAAGGCTTATTTCGTTTGCGTGATGAAGTTTTAGTGGTCTTATATGAAATAGTGTAAAACATTGGTCGTGAAGTTTGAAACACGGAATTAAAAGGATTCTCATGGATTGTAGTTTGATATATCTCTTATCCGATTTGTTGTGTTTTTTATCCCCTCGCAAAACATGCCAAAGCTCAAGATAAAAAACCCCCACAAAACCAGTTGGATAAATATCATATCCAAATACAGATCATGGGAGGTCCTATACATATATTTCATTACCATGCAAAAGTTTTACTGTTTAAATTACATTCAGGAATAAAAAAAGAATTGCACTTATCTAATTGATTTCATGCCAACTTTGGTTTAAGTTATCCTGTGTTCCAAGTTTTTGCATGAAAAATGTCTTAGACAAATACTGCGTTTGCGATTTATTTTGTACATTGATATTATAGTGATTTAAATGTGAATAAAAAGAATACAAGAAGTTAAAGTTAACAGAATTATTGAGTTTGCAAGATTTCAGAATTGTGTGAATATTCTAGACATAGTCCTATTTCTTCATCACATATTTTTATATAGATAACATACCGGGGTACTTTAATTTCAACAATTCAGAAAACAAAATATACCAATGAACCTTGATCACATTTAGTGTACATAGAAATAATGTACATTGCATCCCCACAATCAATTCAAAATAGCACTTAGTAAAGTTTAAGATAATATTGTGAGATATTTATCTTTTTCATTTAGCATATCCTACTAAGTAACATCAAGATAAGTCAGTGCGATAAAGTCAGAGAAGCTAATAGAGGCCTTGTTAGCAGTGCAACATATGCATGGAAGGACACGGACACAATTGCAATCCTTAAATTGGTACAGAGACAGGAACCACCTCAAATCTGCAACAAATAGTACACGACTAAACATTGAAAATATTAAAGAATGCTAAAACAACTTCTAGCAAAATTTGGAACTTCAATAAAAATTATAATAAGTCTACTTTCTAGAAATTTACCCAAACAATGAACCTCAGATCTTTTCTGCCATATAAAGAATGAATCCAGGAAAAAAGCAACAAACTTCTTATCATACATCATGCAAAATTGATACATGAAGGAAAAAAAGATGGGTATGTGCTGCTTATTTTTCATTGAAAGCACTTATTTCTTTGAGTACATGGTATCTAGACCAAGGGCATAAAATTAATTCAATCTAAATATTATTCTAGACCAAAACTATTAAAACTTATTTCAAAAGGTTCTCCTTCCTTTACTGTGCCAGAACATTTTGTAATTCTCACATAGGCTTTTTACGAATGAAAAGGATAGAAAATAGTTACCTTTAAGAGTCACTTTAAGGTGCAGGAGAGTCCGGGGATTCTTGGCCAAACACTGTAGTCATGGGTCATACAAAGGTAGGACACAAACTCGTCCATACCTGAAAAACAAAATATATACATTTAAAGAGTTGTTTTTGAAAACTTTTAGGTCAGTTTTCTTTATTTGTCGACTAAATAATCTAATACCTCTTTAATCATTTAGATATTTCAAGGAGTAATTTTCGTAATCTAAAACACTGACTATTCATGGTATTCTCATTCGTATTTCCAGTAAATATATCAGTGAATCTATCCGAGATCTATTTTAAAATTATTTTGTCTAACCTAGATAACAATTTGTTGAATTTACTTTTTTGTTGATTTAGATTCATTCTGTACTTTATCTTGAGGTTTTATAAGTACTTTCAAATCTCCAAGTGCGTAAAAAGTATCTTCGATTTGTACACATGTAAGCGTTCTAATTCCCTGGGTGTTTTTTTTTTTGCAGTTGGACTTATCTGCCCTTAGACCTAAAGTAGGAGTATCAATATTTATAGTAAATAACTATTACTCCTTTTGAAATACTACGTCAAGATATCTTATTGTTATATATGTTCCCTGGGTAAGAGAGCTACAGTCATATGATTTCTTTGCTGCATGGCAACATTTTTTTTTTTTGAAAATGCTTGTTCCTCAATGTAAGCTCTAGTAACTAAGTTCACAAGTGCAACAAATTTATTCTCTGTATACTTTTTAAATTTGATGAATGTGCAAAAAATATTGTTCATTAATTGATAGAGAATGCTCAAGATTATAAAATATGTGAGAGGATGTGCATGTATATAAGGTAAACACTGAAGATTTAAGAAAAATGTTGGGATACTTTCATAACATGTTTTTCTATTTGCATTTGCTATTTTATTATCATAAAAATATACATGAGAACAGACAATTCCTAGTATGCACTGTACAGTTTGCATTTAAGGCACGTATCTCTGAGTAAATGTTATCTAGACCAAAAGCATATTAATACTCTAATACAAACCTTATTCTGGACTGGTCCTATGATAAACCAAACTATTTAAGCCCAATTATGAAAGGTTTTCTGTTCTCCAACATGTCAGCTCAAAGTACAATGCTTACAAAATAATTCTACGAATGCAAAGGATATAGAATAATTACTCTTAAGAGTCACTTTAAGGTGCAGGATAGTCCGGGGTTTCTTGACCAAACATTGTAGTTATAGGTCATTCAAATGTAGGACTCAAACTCGTCCAAACCTGAAAACAAAATATATACATTTAGAAAGTTGTTTATGAAAACTTTTAGAACTGCTTTCTTTATTTGTCAACTAATTAATTGATAGAAAATACATTAGATTTTGCAATGCGTTTGAAGCTGTGAATATATATAATGAAAACATTGAAGGTTAAATGTATAAGTTGGCAAAATCTTATAAAATTTATTAATATTAACTGTACATCTTACATGATTATTACGCGAGAACAGAGAAGTTGTACATGTACTGCATATTGTGTTATGAAATTATTATTCTGTTTAAGGAGATGAAGAGATATTGCATACAATAAAGTCAATTCATGCATTACTCCAAGAGAGCTCCCATGAATATTAAAATTGTTAATTTCACTATAGAAGGTATTTCTCTTCTTAACATGCCAACACCAAGTACAATGCTAGAATATATTTTTAAGAATGTGCGTTTTTTCTCATCCGATGAGAATCTAGCTCTTGTTAGGAGTTTCTTTAGGTTTGGAGGTTGGCGTCGGCTATAGATGATGCTCTTCAGGTCAATTAATTCCTTTAAATTTTGGGATTGCTGTAAAATAGGAAAACACTGTTTTACGGAGTTATATATATTAAGGTTATATATAACTCCGTAAAACAGTGTTTTCCTATATATATATATAAGGAGAAATCAGTGAAATATATACGAATAACGAATAACTGAATACGTTTTAAATTAGCTGAGTTTGTTTAATTGTAAACAGTGTTTATACAAATGTTGAGTACATAACTTGACAGTATAAATGTATTAAATAGACCTACAACGGCTTTTTTAACACCCTGTAATAAAGTAATTTAAGGCACAAGAATCATCTACAGACTTCCCCTCTTATACACTACTTTTTGTTTTTTCTTAAATTTAATTCTAGACTGTACATTTACAGCCCCTGAAGTCATTTAGTTATTTAAACTATCTCAGTCTCATATTTGTATGATATTGGAAATATTTTTGTTTTAAATTTTTTTTTTTTTTATTTATACAAAATTTTATTCACATAAGTGAATGGGATTGGGCAGCAGGCAAATTTCAAATACCTCTCTGCTGAAAGTAAGTAGAACAGCTACAGAGAGCCTGCAATTTCAGAATACAAAAAGGGAGAGCAGTCCAACAGCAGACCTATTCCGGACACAAGTAATTGCTTGCAGTAATTGCATGGGTGTCAGGTTGGGTCTAGTTGGTATTAACAAAAATGGTCGGGATATATCTTAAGAATGACGTGAATGCCACAGCAAGAGACTGCTTTTTTCATGTGGACGTTTCTGAATCAATTCTGCCTCATAAAATACGAAAAGGTCGTAATAATCTTTTTTTCAGACCATTTATCTTATATGTTTATATAAAATTATTCTCCTGATTTGAACCTACATGGTAATATTTCATGGTTAATATTGCTAATATTCTGTGAATAAATTGGTTACATTAGCAAGGGAAAAAGAGTAAAGAGTAGATTCTATATTTATTTTTATAACAAAACACTGATTTACAGAAATAAACATTTTACATAAATGAATATGTGATTATTTTGAAAATTACTTTCAACTCGAAAACTTCTTGAAAACAAATTTGATTTAACTTATATAAGACAATAGTAGAAGGAATTAAAACATATAATGCATCTCTAAATCAGATGTATTATATGGAAAGCCGTAGAGTACCCCCACATTATTAATATATGTTCCTATATATCTATACCAAAATAATTATCTCATCCAAACTTGCTTTTTACAACATTATTATTATTTTCCTGCAACAATTATAATCTTGTCTGTTAAATGTGTACACATAATTATTATTTTGTCCTACAATTATAATGATCCAAACTTTACAATAATAATCTTGCCAGTCAATGTGGACCCATTATCATAATTTTTCACCTCATGATTATAATCTTGTCAGTCGATGTGTACACATTATTATTATTTTGTCCTACAATTATAATGATCCAAACTTAACAATAATAATCTTGCCAGTCAATGAGGACACATTATTATAATTTTTCGCCTCATGATTATAATCTTGTCAGTCGATGTTTTAAAACGTTATTTTTATTTCACCTCAAAATTATTATAATTATTCTTACTTTTAACAATTATAATCTTGTTTGCCCGAGCGAACACATTATTTTTATTTCGCTTCAAATTTATAATAATTATATTCCACATCGATCGTACACTTATAATCTGTCTCTCCAACAATAATAATCGCTACCAAAAAAGCTGCAACATTATTATTATTTAGACGCTTGAAATCAAACGTTTGTGTGATTTTGATGTACTGAACAATTATAATCTTGTCAGATTTTCTTTGGGAAAGATTATTATTATTTGGACGCTTGAAAAAGTAAACGTTTGTCTGCCGAAGACAATCACGTGGTTTAAGGCCATGTGCTTCCCTGATCAACAGTGCCGAGTACGGCGCCAGTAAAAGGCAGGCGGTTTGCCGGTAAGTAAAGATGATTTTGTTATATTGATGTACAAGGAAGTGAATTCCATTCATTCGATAAAGGAAATGTCTCAGAAATCAGCTGTCAGTATGCTGTTATTAAACGACAGCTTCGGAAGAACTAGTTCGAATTATCTCTGTACTTTTGTATAGGAGATTGAGATTGCATCAATGCATGTCATTGCATTGTGAATTTATGTTCCAAATCTAGATAAAATGGCGTTAAATTGAATGATATATCTTTACGAACAGTATATGCTTGTATTTTACAGGTCTTTGGTGTAAAGGATGAAATATGGAGATAGCAAACAGTAGCAAACAGTACTAAAGTCCTAAGTTTATTTAAACAATACATCAGAAGCAGAGCAAACAGGGACTTCTAAAACATCACAGATTGGAGCGCTTGCTTCGAAGGAGAGAAGAAATTCTTTAACGACCAACCGGTCACACTCGCCGCGTATACGTACTCCTTTTTAACGATCAGAAAACACTGGAAAATCCGAAGACAGTTAAGTGTGTATATAATGACCAAATAATTAGAATGAAAAAAAAAGATTAAGTGTTTGGCTGAGGTTATACTTGATTATTAAGTTATGATATCGATTATGAAAACTGTGCAAGGATGATTTCAAACAAGGCACTTGATATTACAACAAAAAAAAAATCAAATAAAAAACATAACTAAAAGCATACATTTTTTCCCCAATATTGCAATATGATAAAATCAATGTTTTGAGTATAGTTAACTATACTTGCCATAATACTTGCCATACCTTAATTAACCTGTTTTTTTTTATTAATTTTATGTCTTTGGCTGGTACAATCAATTTTAATTCGATTTTTCCCCGTAGATGTCTCCGAGGTACTCTTCGGCCAATGCTGACCTTTTAAGGTCCTTCATTTGAAGTTGAATGCCACATTGCTGAAACATATTAAAAATAAGCATAAGAGGCTCATTGGTCGCATCGGTCACCTGAGGACTTTGGTTAGGAAAAAGCAGAAATCGGTTCAGATTTAAAAAGTTTAAATGTAAATGTGACTCCAACAATTGAGACTGTTTACGATTTTGCGCTACATCTCGGAATTCTGATTGGAGCATATATGAAATTTTCCTATTCTAGGGTGCTTTTGAATTAATAAGACTGGCTTTGATTTTCTGGGAATGAATATTTTATACTTATTGATTTCCTTTTTATATCTTTGACTCCTTTTATAGCTACATCAAAGCCCCATGGGTTATGATTTAAACAATAATTTAAATATCCACTACATGTTCCTTTATCCTCATGTTTTCTTTATTCTTTCAATTAAATTGATAAATCACACCTCGCTGTTTTTTTTTCTTCAAGATTTTCTTTTTCTCTATTATTTTTAAGCCCAATGTTCTTGAGAAAGAAAATGTAAGTTACAACCGAATTTTTGTTATTTCTTAATGATCTCCCCTAGAATGAAATGAGGGAATGGACCTTTATGTAAGCAACCTTGAATCCCCTTCACACAAGAAGGATATGGACATAACGAACAGTATTCAATCTCAAAGTCCATAAAACAATACAAAACACGAGCAGAGCAAACACAGACCTCTGAAACATTTAAAGTGCGATCAGGTTCCATGGAGGAGTGAGCATCCCCTGCTGACCCGTCACACCCGCCGTATGCTCATTGTCATGATCGTGAAATAACGGAAAAATCCATCGTCAAATCAGTGTATAAATAATGGACTAACAATTGGTATGAAAAACGTCAGTCAGCATTTGACTCAATGACCATAGAAGTTTCGAAATGATGATTTTAAAAGAGACTGCTGATATTCTTGTTTCATCAACTTGCTTGTCAATAATTTACCTCGTTTTAGAAATTGTTCATACGTAAAGTATGTTCTTGTGTATCGAATCAACTGAGATACATATACTCCGTATGCAGGTGATGAAGGTTAAAGGCATACTTTGTGCGAAATTTGGTTGAAAGTTACCCAGTGATTCTGGAAAATAAAATGTATAAAGCTTAAAACAACAACAACAACAATAAAAACGCCAACAACGACAAACATCGCACACATTTCAAACAGAAAACCTCATTTGCTCTTTTGTCTAAGGTTAGTAAAAAAAATATTTACTCTTTAAATACATTGTATTAAAAAAACTTCTGATTGTGCATGTATCGACTATCCAGATATATACCGTATGCATTTGTTTTCTTAATTTCATTTCTATGCAAATTTTAATAAAAAAAACTTTATCAAAAATTTACATTATTTGAATTAAAGTAGAACATTGGACATAAGAAATGAGTATGAATGAATTGTATCATTGCAAGTTTAGAAAAATAAAGCATTAAACAGAATAAAATCCTGGATTTGCAATAACTATTATAAAGAGATAAGAAATATGTTCCAAATTCAATAATTCTTGTTATGATAAATATGTTGTTCACTTACATAGTATTGGATTGGAATCTAGGTTATTTCTCTTATTCATCCCTTTTTCATTTTCTTTTGACTCGCTCCAAGTGAAAGATCGTTATTCTTTTATAGTTTTAGAAGTTGTGCATTTTATGATCAAATTCAAACAAAGAAAATAATTATACATAATAGAAAAATAGTAACTTTTATAATGTGATAAGTTCAGAGAAGATTTTTTGCATATGTAACATCTGTATAACTTAAAAAAGGAATCCATGAGGGATTTAAATCTATTGATGATATGATTTGAAAAAAACCAATGTACATTTCTGGCAAGAATATGTCAGAATATTTTTCCACATCTAGCTAATACGCTCTTTATTTATGAAAAGTGGGTTGTTTTGTTTTGTATAAGTTTTTTCATTCGTTTTTTTTTTTTTTTTTTTTTTTTTTTTTTTTGATTTTTTATGTTTTGCTTTTTTGTTAAAAAAGATACTTTTTTGTAATATTTTTCACATTTTTGAAATTTTTTCTTTCGTTTTATTAGCTCACCTGAGCCGAAGGCTCAAGTGAGCTTTTCTGATCATGTTTTGTCCGGCGTCCGTCTGTCCGTCTGCCTGTCTGTCTAGTTGTCCGTCTGTCTGTCTGTCTGTCTGTCTGTAAACTTTTCAAATTTTCGACTTCTTCTAAAGAACCGCGGGGCCAATTTCAACCAAACTTGCCACAAAACATCCTTGGGTGAAGGAAATTCAAGTTTGTTCAAATGAAGGGCCACGCCCTCATTCAAGGGGAGATAATTGGCAATTAATGAAAATTTGGTGGCATGTTTTAAAACTCTTCTTCTCAAGAACCACTGTGCCAGGAAAGATGAAACTTATGGGGAATTATCCTTAGGTAGTGTAGATTCAAGTTTGTTCAAATCATGACCCCCGGGGGTAGGGCGGGGACAAAATGGCCGACCAAATTTTTACATAGAAATATAAAAGGAAAATTCTTTAAAAAATCTTCTCAAGAATGACCAAGCAATAATTCATCATATTTATATGGAAGCATCCTCAGGTAGTGTAGATTCAAGTTTGTTTTGTATATAATTTTCATTTTATTCATCTTCATAAGATGCAAGATTTTTGGCAGTCTTAGAAAAGGTCTTACAAAGGTTGACATTTGGATCCAACTAAAGGAAAATAATAAATACAGTTTTAGAGAAATAAGATTTCCTTGAATCCAGCTGAGATACCAATGTTTATTAGTATGAAATGAAATAAGAAGTGATTTGTGGTGTTTTAATTTACAATGATAGCAAAAGCCTTTTACACTATGTATTGTAGAATACATGATGGAAATACATGTAAAAGACAAAAAATACCAAATAAGTATAAAAATCAGTACAATTTTTCTGAATGCCTGGATACCTATCGTTTTTAAGCTAAACTATATTTGTTGATCAATTTGCAATTATAAAATGCATTGCTGCTATTCCAATTCGCTTTATCTGCACAAATATTGGAGATTTGACAATTTTCCCTATGTAATATGATTAACTTTAATCTTTAACTTTAAAGAAAAACTGTGGATAAATTTACATAAATTTGTAGATTCGGAGACACTTTTATGAGTATATTTTATTCCTTAACTGCTTATTTAATGAACCTGAGGATCGGGCTACCTTAAGGTATCAAGCTAAGTTTTTTTCAATACTTACTGTAGTTTTTTTATTTAGTTATCTAAAATATTTATTTGGGTATGGATCTCAAGGCATTAGTCCATGAAAATATAAAAACCCATTAATATGATTTACAAAAAAATAATTCCAAACATACCGATTTATTCAAAGATTTGCTATTTTAATTATGGAAAGTAAATTAGTAAGTATGGCATGTTATCACATATAGAACAATAACCTGTATTTTACGTTTGTTAGTGAAATCTAATGAATCTACACAATGAAAAAATGCATGTTATCTGGATATATCTCGAAATATTATATCCAATTCTTGTTCATGACGTCGCATAAAGCAACGTCAAAATATTGAAACGTTAACGTTAACTATGCTACTTTCATAGCTATATAAAACATAAAGTTCTGGACAAGCATATATTGATTATTTTATAAAATATACACTCTTTGAAAGAACTTAGAGGAATATTATTTATTTTGACACGGGCCGAATTTTGCGACAAGGGAACCAGGACTTTTGAAATTTCCATTTTATACACAGTATAATTAGGCCAAGATTAAAAAAAAACGATCTTTTTAGCTCACCTGAGCCGAAGGCTCAAGTGAGCTTTTCTGACCACATTTTGTCCGGCGTCCATCTGTCCGTTTAGCTGTCCGTCTGTCCGTCTGTCTGTAAACTTTTCACATTTTCGACTTCTTCTCAAGAACTGCCCTGATTCAAGGGGAGATAATTGGCAATTAATGAAAATTTGGTGGCATATTTTAAAAAATCTTCTCCTCAAGAACCACTGTGCCAGGAAAGATGAAACTTATGGAGAAACATCATCAGGTAGTGTAGATTTACGTTTGTTCAAATTATGACCCCCGGGGGTAGGGCGGGGCCAAAATGGCCGACCAAAGTTTTACATAGAAATATATAGCAAAATTCTTTTAAAATCTTCTTCTCAAGAATGACAAAACCATAATTCATCATATTCATATGGAAGCATGCTGAGGTTGTGTAGATTCAAATTTGTTCAAATCATGACCCCCGGGGGTAGGACGGGGCCAAAATGTCCGTCCAAAGTTTTACATAGAAATATATAGAAAAATTCTTTAAACATCTTGTCCTCAAGAATGACAAAGCCATAATTCATCATATTTATATCGAAGCATGCTCAAGTAGTGTAGATTCAAATTTCTTCAGATCATGACCCCTGGGGGTAGAGCGGGACAAAAATGGCCGACCAAACTTTCACATAGAAATGTATAGGAGAATTCTCCAAAAATCTTCTTCTCAAGAATGACAAAGCCATAATTCTTCATATTTATATGCAAGGATGTTCAGGTAGTGTAGATTCAAGTTTTTGTTCAAATCATGACCCCCGGGGGTAGGGCGGGGCCAAAATGGCCGACCAAAGTTTTACATAGAAATATATCATCAAAACAATAAAATATGTTCAAACCAGAAATATATAGCAAAATTCTTTAAAAATCTTCTCCTCAAGAATGACAAAGCCATAATTCCTCATATTAATATCATGCTCAGGAAGTATAGATTCAAGTTTGTTCAAATCATGTCCCCCGGGGGTAGAGCGGGGCCAAAATGGCCGACTTAAGTTTTACATAGAAATATATAGGAAAACTCTTTAAAAATCATCTTCTCAAGAATGACAAAGCCATAATTCAACATATTTATATGGAAGCATGCTCATGCAGGTAGTGTAGATTCAAGTTTGTTCAAATCATGACCCCCGGGGGTAGGGCGGGGCAAAAATGGCCGACCAAAGTTTTACATAGAAATATATAGAAAAATTCTTTAAGCATCTTCTTCTCAAGAATGACAAAGCCATAATTCATCATATTTATATGGAAGCATGCTCAGGTAGTGTAGATTCAAATTTGTTCAAATCATGACCCCTCGGGGTAGGGCGGGGCCAAAATGGCCGACCAAAGTTTTACATAGAAATATATAGAAAAATTCTTTAAACATCTTCTTCTCAACAATGACAAAGCCATAATTCATCATATTTATATGGAAGCATGCTCAAGTAGTGTAGATTCAAATTTGTTCAAATCATGACCCCAGGGGATAGAGCGGGGCCAAAATGGCCGACCAAAGTTTTTAAAGATATCTGTATAGGAAAATTCTTTGAAAATCATTTTCTAAAATAGCAAATCCATGCTTGGTTATGGGACTACTTTTGGATTTGAACTTTACAATAAAAAGCCATTTTCTACTTTTTCCTACCCTTCGTGCACAATCGAGCGATGTGGCCCATGGGCCTCTTGTTTTCTTGATAAAATCTTTTATTAGACAGGTATATTCATGTTCAAAAACTACATTGTGGATGATTATATTTTCTATATAATTTAGTATGTGATGAGACAGTAATGTGCTTTTCCTTTATAAAGTAAAAAAAAAAAAACATATTAAAGATTTTTAAAAAAAATGGTAATTCAAACAACTAAGAGTTCCATTTCTGCAAGTATTTACTTTTTTTCACCAATGGCAGTGAGATACATGCTGTCTTCTGTAAGACTAGCTTTTTCTTTTCCATTTTCTTCCTTTAAAGACTGAGTATTTGTTTTAAACTCGATATTAGTTTGTTCATTTGCAGAGCGATGATTGGGTGAAATATAGTCATTTTCAGTGGTTAATTCTGGCTTTACTTCTGATGAAACCAGAGGTAGCTCTTTCATTGAACATAGGGGACATTGAATCCCTGCATCACCCTCCGAGCAGGCTTCTGACAATCCTTTAAATTCTATGTAATATCGTTTCTGACATTTGTCAAATGTGATTTTTACATCATCTCTTCCAACGGAGAGATGTTGTTCGTTTAGTTTGACGGTATGTTCATCCAATTCCTCATAATGCTCCTCAATACCACCATCAGCTGTATCTTTTTTGTCATATGACCATTTTGATGTGTTAAAAAATCTTCGAATTTTTGACAGTATGTATGCCGCTATAACCACTGTCAACAGGGATGTTGTTGAAAACACGCCAATTTGCAAAGCATCGTAGCCCCTTCTCGGTTGATGAAAATCCTGACACTGAAAACAGTTTCTCGGCACATTCAACTGAGTGTTTGTGTATTTTTCATTTTGATCAGTATTTATTTTAGTGCTTTTTAATTCGGATTTCCATGTGAAGAATTTAACAGTAGAAGGGATTGTCGTCTTGGTTTGATCTACAAATCAGGAGAGAATTAATAAAAAACATCAGAGTATCTGGAATCTTCTAGATAGAATTTTTTTAACGAAGAAGAAGCAAAAAGAAAAGGATCCTAAATAAAGTAAATATAGCTAGGAATTTTACGTATTATTTCCTTTTCTTATGACAAATATTAACCAAAATTAACAAAAAATATATATTTTATTATATAACAAACGACAAGGAAATTTAAATAAACAATCCTGTCCTGATATATTCTGAAAAACCGCTGAATTTATTGTACTAGGAGAAAATCATCAGTTTCCTTATTCTTAGTATAACGCTTAAAATTACGCATTTTATAATGATCGTTCAAGATTTAATGGAAATATATGTAATGTCAATTTATGCGAACTTATAAATAACATTAAATGCGACGCAAAAAAATCTTTTTTTAATTAGAGATTTTCCGACATTTGAAAACGAGAACTTCTAAAGCAATTGCTATGAACTGATAACGAAAGACCGTTTACGGCTTTAAATTAAGGTTATACGTTAGTACAGACATCAAGAGTGCACATAACATTCAGACAGAATCTCGACAACCTTGGGGACTTACTGTTTACAAATCATGCCACTGCCTCTGTTTTTAGTTTAATTGAAAGAAAATCCTAGGTGGATTTGTTAAATTGCGTCGATTGTATGGCGTTATTATAAGTAATAACTAGTAACTTTTAGACCATATCTAAACAATTAAATAACAAGCAGACATTTAAGATAATTCCAATTTTAATAGATGTTTAGGCATTTAAGTAAGACTTGTCAATCATACTTTGGATCATTTGATTTTTTATTTTATGAAATTTGAATGGTTTTGATTTTTCTGCGTATACTAGTATATACATGTTACATTCCGCTTATTACGCATAAATGTTAAACCTCTTACCATTAGTATTGATACATCCTCTTGATTTGTCACACTCTGTTTCAACACAGGTACATTGTTTCTTGCACAGCTCACCGTATGATGGGTACAGGCAGATACCTGTACAATTCAGGCCAAAACGGCCGGGTGGACACTCTATAATTAAATAGAAGACAACTTGCACTTTAAATGCTAAAATGGATTTTATATTGTAAAAAGAATCTAAGTAAAATTGCAAACCCTACACAAATTATTTGAAGTAAAACAATGCTTAACTGTTGCATCCATTTTCGAATAAATGTCTTCTTATTTGACAGCTTATTAGGAGTTGGGTTTATGAGATAACAGGAATTTAACTGGAAACCAATAGGAAAAATATATAGAAACATTGATATATAGCTGATTTATTGAACACTTACTTGTACAATTTTTTAGCTGTGGATCCCAGATATATCCCGAACAACAGACCAATCCTCCTTGTCTGTAAATATATATACACCAGTATATTTTCACAAATAATCATTTAGTTTTGCAATGAAAGCGACTGATATACTTTAAAACAATTAAAATAAATAACCTCACCCGCCACAAGTGGCTGAAACAAATAGAAAAAGAGAGGGGAAAATGAGGAACTGCAGCTGAACCATTGTACAGCCTGTAATTGTGCTGCAAATTAGATTAATAATTATTTATTAAACAATCATTTCCTTTTATAATTAATTTCATTCGATTGTTATTTTTTAAGTGTAGCGTAAATATAGATGACTTTATCAGGAAATTAATCTTTCATACATGTATTTGTATGATGTAACACCTTTCTAGTGACACAAAATTACAAAAATATCAAAATATAATTGTGATTAAAGAATTAACTGTTTAATCAGTGTTGGTTAAAATATTTAAAGTCATCACCCTGCATACATTATGGACAGCGTTACCCGATGTCATGCAACTAGGATAAAAACGAGAAAGCCTTTATAATTTATATCCGATTGATCATTTAAGAAATGACAGTTCATGAAGTTTAGTTTTTCAAGTTACTCAAATAAAAAGAAGAAAATATAGCAAGAGAAAATTGATGATCTAGGATCAACAAAATAGCTTGTTTGGTTATTAGCTCAGATGAACTGATGCAGATCCTTGCGTGTGAATACCAATGCTAGCTACCTAACATAACCGAAGTATCTTTAGTGCTGGTGTGAGTTGATTTTGATGACGGTTTCAGTAAAATTTCAACAAATGTTGTAACCTTGTTATAACTTTTCAGATTATCTGCATCACTTATCATGATTTGGCATGCGGGAATCAAATGACTAAAGAAAGATTACAATTTTATAGAATTAAAATGATATGGTTTGCTTTTATTTGACCATATATGTTTTATTCCTCCTTTCTGTGGACATATTTTAGATTATTTACATAGATTGATTATCATAAATGAAAAACAAGGGGGAATAAAGCAAAAATAATACATCATCATCAAAGAAAGCCTCATCCTAATGCAAGTACCTCCGTTTCGGGGGCATGAATCTCAAATTTTGGACGAAACACTCCTGCTCATCACAACAATACACTTGGTTTTCTTTTGATTCTCAGGAGCAGAGAAGATTTCAAAGAAATATACATTTTATCTGAATGATAGCTAAAGCTTCGCTCTTACTCTGGAATCCTGGACACAGGGGTTCCGAATTTCACAAATTACCGATCAAAAACCTATAATTGTGTGCTACAAATAAAAGTTTTGACTATCGTTAATCAAATATATTTATGGGTTTATGACTGCTTTATTTCATTTTTAATAGATGCATATATTTTATATTTAAGGTGGAATGCCACACCAATGTTTAACTTTAAAGATCTTTGAATAATCCTTATTACATGTTAGCAATGGTTTCAGCATTGAATGGTTGATATTAGCACTTAATAATTATGTTATATTAATTTCTTTTTAATTTCTTTTTTCAAAGAAAATGAAAAAGCATTTTACTATTTGATCAATAGAAAATAACCTAACACGACGACCTCTGCTTTAAGGGCCATGTTTGACATACAGAGGGAACAAGAAGGGCGAAAATACCTTTCCCATCCTGTCCTGAAAGTCTTCGTTTTCAATAAAATTTAAGCAGTGCATTAAGAGTCATTCTCTGTAAAAACCAAAGAATCCAAGGAGGCCGTAAAAATGAATATCTCCAAAATATGTAATTTTTTGTATTTAGAGTGTACTCAGGTGTCTAACTGAGAAAACCACCTTAGTTCATGTTTCGGGGTGTCCGTTGCCATGGCAACCGTAACTAACACAAATATGGCCATTTTGACAGGTTCTATTTCATGAAATATAGCATTTTTAACCCCAATATTTCCTTTAAACACGAAAAATATAACCACTTTCAATTATATAATTTATTTTATGCATTCTTATATAATTAAAATAATTAAGAATTAAATCTTTTGCCTGAGGCGTTTCAAGCTGATATAAGGCTAAAAATATCAAATTTCATGATTTTTTCAAAATGCAGAAAAATCCATTTTACCCTCTATTTCAATTACATTTATCTTTAAATTCCAAGATAGGTTTTTTAAACTTCTTGTTTATTCCAAATATCTATACTATAGTCTTTCATTTCATATAGATTCCAAACATGTGTTTTTCAGATAACTCGGGAAACATCAAAATGAAAATAACCCATAATCCCGAATTTCCTCAGATATGGATTTGAAAACTGCGTTATACATTGTATATGGTATATTTTGTAGAGTTTGCTTTTCTCTTTTGAGGACATTGTTTATGTAAAACAACCTTAACAGAGAATTAAATGATAAAAATGAATGAAAATGTATCATTTTAGGGGCGGATAGCAACATAGCAGTGGTTAACAGGGCTCATGGGATTTTTTTTCATTTCATGTTTTTATCGGTTCAAAATCACTTTTGTGACTTAATTTTAACAATACTGACGTGTATATTAATCATGGTACTAATCAATTCTTTAAATGAAATGTAGATATATTTAAGATATAAAAGTAATACACAGATATTTCATTTTAACCCCCCCCCCTTTTTTTTAATGAGGAAAAGGCTTGGGATTAATAACAATTGTTCTATGACTCAAATTTTATCTTCTTCAGCTATTAAACGTATTTGTTACAAATTTAGCAGAAAAAAAGAGTCAATGAAAAGTTAATTTATTAACTCTATCACAACATAAGGCTAAGGTCAAGAGTTCAAAGTTAACTGAAGAATATATACATGTAGAATAATTGCTTCTCCACATTTTCAGGAATTGACTGGATGACCTTAAGTCAGGATTTCTGATTACAGAAACAGAATGCTATAAAGTACAACATGTTTAATCCAAAATGGTTTAAATGGACTACATAAACAATTGATAACTGAAAATAAATCTGAAAATTAAAAGATTATTATTTATTATTATTTTTTCAAAGAAAATATAAAAGATTATGGTGTGCAGAAAAAGTTCGGGCTAATTATTTTTTTTTAAATAACTTTTTCAATTATCAATTTATATTAAAGCTCAAACATTATTTCATAAACTTGTAATTGATTGATAGACAATGAAGAATTTCAAAAATATGTATGTATACTGTTGAACACAAACCATTCACAGCAACATATCTAAATAATTTGATTATTGAGCTCATAAAATTATAATACCAGCAGAATAAGGACAACAAAAGTAAAATGAGGCCATACATGTAAGTAATAAGAGTTCCTGTCATTCAGATTTTCAACTTGATTGCATGCTTGTAAGAGGCAATTTCAGTTGGAAGAGGGGGGGGGGGGGGGCACAACCATACATTCTCAGTGAAAACTACCAAAAATTTCTAGAAAGCAAAATAAGGACAAAAGATCATTAGACACATTTTCTGAGGGGGCACAAGCATAGAGTAGCTATGTTTATTATAGAATTCTATATATTGGCAAAATATTAAGGGGGGGGGGGGCAAATGTTGGTCATAATGTGAAAAATAATTATATATTTTCTATGAAATACCCAAGAGCCATTAGCAGGAATAGTAGGGCAATGACATACTAAAGTGAATAATTACATAGATGTACAATAGGTGGTTTTTCACTTTTATGAGTTAATATTTTTGTCATCCAAGTAAACGTTATCCTTAAGCTTTGAAAATAATAATAGACACTTTTGACATAGATTTCTTAAATTTTTTTGTCAATTTTATAAAAAATCAATAATTGTAACAAATGATGGAATTATCATTTTACATGCAATGAGACTACTGTTTATACACTTTTTATCTTTTATTTAAGAATTTACATTATTAAATTTTTTTTTTTAATTATTTGAAGCATATTCATAGTAGTGCATAGTGGACCCATATTATTGTGCATGAATAACTTCAGGATAAGTGGTCAAAACTTCCCTCAGGTATAATACTAGGCAAGACTAGGATTTTCTTCAGATACTGTAAGACTTCACTATTTCTTTGATGTTCTTTGGGAGAATAACAGCAATGTTTGTCATTATATTGTTGTAGTATAATTGAGCAGGCTTAGTGAAGGTGTCCCACCGGTATCTCCCATTCTGTGAAAACTCTCACTAATTTTCATCAGATACTCATTCATTTGCTGAATGTCATGACTGGTCATGACTAATTGTAAAACTCTGGCATCTTGAGTTCTGTAATAGACAATACAAGTATTTAGATTTACCAGGTAGATAATACAAGACTTAAGTTAACCAGATATCTCTGTCAAGACTGTAGCTCTACTGGTTTGTACTTATAATAAAGAAAGAGAAAACTAGCAGTTGGGACATTTACAAAAGCAATCAATAGAATAATGACAAAAACAGATACACAGAATTATTTACCTTATTGTAGTTTACTTGTGTGCCAAGTTATATTGAAATCAGACCAAAACTGTAGGAGGAGTAGCATTTTGAAAAACTGTTTACAGACGGACAGACATACAGACAGACAAACAGACGACGGACACATTACTATCGCATAAGCTCTTCTGGTCTTTGACTAGTAGAGCTAAAAATGATTAAAGGAACCAATTGGATCATGAAAACAGTTACACTTGTACATGTAATAGGTCATACATCCTCTCTACACCAGTGTAAAATGATTTTTGGACTTTGCAAAAATTATATTGAATAAAGATGTAAATAATAAGCTTCTCTATTTCATTTTCAATACATGATACATGGCATTTAACCCCAGGAAAAAAATGTTCAAACACAACACAGTATCAATAGAAATAATTGCTATTTACTTCTATGGAGAAGATACATGTAAACAACATGTTTATCATTTAGAATTTAAACTATCTTGCCCTTTTAAAATGTTAGGAATACTTAATTTGATTATAAACTGAGTAATATATTGTAAATGTATATTTATTAGCATTTAAATCTAAGGGCAGATAAATAGAACAGAATCATAACTCTTTAGTGTTCAGTGTAGAGAGGTCTCTTAAGGAAAATGGTAGAAACTCCTGTCAAAATTTTTGAAAATAACAACTTGGGTCATGTTTTAATGAATAAAATGAATAAGTTTTACAGTGTAGTTTTTTTTTTTATTTCTTTTTCAAAGTTGCACAAAAATTGAATTTGAAGTAAAAAATATTTGTATAGAATAATTAGGATGATTTCAGATGGGTAGAAATTGGAACATCATAGAACGTTTACATGCCTTAAAAAGTGGGTCAATAATAGTAGTTAATGTATATATGGAACATGAAAGCTGTATCCTCTATCCTTCAAAATTTGTTACCAATGTCTAATTTCTTGAAAGATATAGAAGTCAAGGCTATTGGGTCAAAATTATAGTACATGGACACTATACCTCTTTATAATTTGGTTTTAATACGATGTTGAAGGCTCCATGAATGATCTAAATATCTTCCCCTTCCTTGTGATGCCCCTCACTTGGTCACACAGCAGCATGCTACAATAAATTGTATATTTTCATAAAAATAATTCAATTCCTTACAGGTACTAATTAAAGCACAATTATATAAGAATGAGTTGTTAAATTTTTTTGCCATTCACCACATATTTAACGGTACTTTTTATTTAGTTTTGTATGTTGACAGGTCTAAAATAAATAACCGTGTACAATAATTCAAATTGGAGAAACTTTTTAATTAATATCTTGTTAAACTTTAAATGCATACATCATTATAGAGTACTCAAGATGAACAAGGAAAATGAAATTTACAAGTTCAATTCCAAAGATTATTTCTTATTCTACCCACATAGCTATTAATAGCTACAATGTACATGTATGTAGGTTAAAGCTACCCAAAGTAGCTATTTTACCCACTTCTAAGGCCTAACCGTTACACATGTAGATAGAAATGCTTTAGTATAGTCTTTGGACTGTACCTTTTTACATTCATTTCGATTTAATTCTTTTTCAATAATTTCATCTACCCATAACTCTACGAACAAATATTATAATTATATTGTGTATCAGAAATTGTAGTTACTTACGTGTACATGCATGGTGTATAACACTGGTAGCGTTGCACCAGCTTGACCAATCAAATGACCTGGTTTCAAATTTTCACGTTCTGTTTGGAGGGGAATTCTTGGTCCATCTCCTCTGGTGTTTTCAATATGCAGGTGTGAACTGAGAAGATTTGGAATTTGACAAAACTTCCTTCTTCACCTCTTTGTATTTTATTTTGAAGAAAAGTTAAAATAACGTCCACATTCGATAGTCATTCACTGTATTTACTAAATAATTTTGCAAGTGTAACACATGGCATACGACCTACTTTAGACAATACATGGCCATTGCTAAAACTCACGAGTTGTTGAATGTCTTCAGAATAAACAATATAACATCTGCTAAGGAAGCTATACTGTATAATCTAAGCAGTTTTGTATAAAAATATCAGTAAAACACATCGTTTGTGAAAAGGAACTCCAAACCGGCAAAACGTCATGCTTACAAATACTTTTGTTTTTACCTTCCTTCACTGTCGGAACTAGAGAGTTCTTCAAAGGGAGATAATATTTTTGTGAAATGCTAGTTTTTTAAAATTTTCAAATGCATTTTATTTTTTTAAAACAAAAAACACACATCCAGAATAATTATGAATAAATAATCAAGTATGTTTGCTTTCAAAATATTGTTAATATTTTATAAACCTATCTTGGGATTTTTTATAGAATGGCACTGAAAGTATGGTTATTTAGCGTGTTGGTTAAGGGTTAAAAATAGGAGGAAATTAAATTTCTTTAAAATAAAAAGGGGAGTTAGTGATGAAGCAAAATAATTTTTTATCTTTACTTCACACCTTGTTTTCACAATTTAATGCACTTAATCCAACCATAGTGCATTACTTATTTTGAATTTTTTATGTCAAATTAGGAGAAAACTGACCTTTTCAAACGTGGGGGTAGCCACAAAATGTGTTAGGGGGCCATAACCTGGAGGACAGGTCACATCTCAAAATTTTAAATATACCTAATTAATCTCATACACATTCATAATTTTTTCATATATGTTTTATTAAAATCTGTGGTATTCGTTTGAACGGCATCTGTGGTCCTTACAGAGAATGACTCTTAAATACTCTGATAATGTTTTCCTACATATTGATATAAAGTTTTACGTATCTTTTTCATTAATTGCAAAACAATGTACCAGTATTTTGATGCTTATTGACATCATAGCATTTTCTTTATAATCAGGCTGTGAATATCACTATCATTTTTTTTTTTACAGAATGTCCTGGAAATTCCCGTCAAGCCTAAAGTTAGAGACTGACGGAAAGAATATGCAGATTTTAATTATTATTAATCAGACATGGCACCCTTTTGATCACTTCTTTAAAACTGGTTGATTGAAACAGTGTCTTCATTAATAATGCATAAATCACTTTATCAAAAATTGCAAGTAGCATAAATCAAACCAAAAATGCAGGTACTTACAGGTATGTTTATTTTTAAATTCGCAATAATCATCAAAACGAAAGTAGATTTCCCGTGACAATAACAATGCAGGTGCGCAAGGTGCCAGCGATCATCGCCCAACCTGATATATAGGTACAGATCAAAGGCGGATTTAGAGGTGAGGTATTTTGGATATTGTACTTCTTATACATGTAAGTACGTAAAGTATAGCCAAATTAAGTCACTAAACAGATGGATGAAATTCCAAATACCTTCAAAAGCTAAATCTAGGCACTGAGCCCTCTTGAACCCCACCCCAGATCCCCAAAGCGTTGTCCAATACTTTTAGAATCCTAGATCAAACTCTGTTGAACGTGTTGAAACAATATGTGGTCAAACAAATGAAAATAATCCATTTCTAGAGTAGATTTTATTTTTAAACTTACTGAACAAATATGACACTGATACATGTATCAGTGTGACATGCATGCAAAGTTTAGACTTGTTTAAGTATAGACTTTTTTGGTTGAAAATTAAAAATTAAGAAAAATGTCGTTAATAAATCTATTTGAAAAAACCTTATACATGTATACAATTTAGCCAACAAAGAATTTAAATCGATATGCAAGGTTATTTTGTCTGTTTTATTTCAAACTTTGAAAAATTAAATCGTGCGAAACCAGGTAACTGGTATCTTATTTCGGTCAAGATTCAAGCATTTAAACAATTGAATAGGAATATACGTGCATAGTTATTGCATGAAAACAGATGATGACAATAAAGTATTAAACATATCTATAAGGTATACTGTTTAAGGCATGTTGTTTTTTAGTGCTTACACTGAAAAAAGGTTATGTGTATGTATTGCATGTGTTTCTTTATCACTTTTTAATAATTTCAAGTGACATTTTCTTATTATTTAAACCATTTTGTAGAAGACAGCATTTAAGTAGGGATATATAGCTTAAGTTGGTTTCAATAGATAATCCAAACTTTGCGATGGTATACTGTCTTTTAAAGTATTTTGTAGTCGGCAATAATTATGACCTAATCTCGGTGCACAAATTGTCGTCAATCGCACTGTAGGTCGTTGGAAAAATGTCATCAATCCATCTTAACACAGGCTGAAAGAAGATACATGTCCACAAGCGAGAGTATGTGCTACCTTCACAACACATAACAATACAAAGTGATGGTGCTGGTGCTAATGACGATGTCATAAAAAAAAGCAATACGTTTAAAGTCCATGTGGTCGGTTAGTTGTCATTTTGTAATCGTCATAGGCCGATCATGGTTGATTTGATACAAGGAACCCGGCAGATTTAACTATCAGTGCACATTATACCCTGGACAACTTTATATACCAGTTAACTATGCATTGACAACCTTATATTTTTTTTTCAGAACAGGAGGACTACTTCGATGCATATACCTTGAAATAAGACATATATTCATTTACATGATGAATAAACCTATACGTTTTTACATTATGAAAATTTCATTCTGAAGTACACTTAATCGTTTCCCTTTGGACGAAGGTTATTCCTTGATTCCTGTTTCACAAAACAAAAAAATTTCCCAGTCAATTGGTATAAAAGTATTATTCTCTTATTCTTTCTATTTATAGCATTGTAGACTTTCAGAAAATAATCGTTTACACAGAAATTTCCAATGATTTCAATTTAGATTAATTTTGAAATTTATATTAGGGTTTGGTCGATCAGAGTTTATTTCATACGAGTCATCTGATAGATTTAACTATCTACGCACTGGTATCTTAATTTAAGTCTTCCAGTACATGATTAGAATTACCGAGCATTACTTTGATGCATTTACCTTGCGAATTTTATAGCAGTTACATGATAAATAAACATTTTTCTTTACATGCATAAGAATTTCATTCGGGGGTATACACTTCTCTTTGGATGAAGTTTTTTCGTTAATTGAAGTTCAGAAAAGCAATTAGATACTCAATGCAAATCGAATCACGCGTAAGAAAGAACGACTTTCCATATTCTGTCTATTAATAGCATCGTTGGTTTTTAGCATATTATCAATTATTATAAAGAAGTTTCAAATATCTCCATTTCAATTTAAATTTATGTTGAATTTTACTGTAATGACTTGACACTTCACACAGCCAAAATACGGTGTACAAGTATGATATAAAATCACATTTCCTCCATTTCCCTCCGATGACGCTATCTCTAGGTATGGAAATTGTATCGGTTTTTGTTGTTGTTGTTTTTTCAACGGATTCAAAATTCATTCAGCAAAATATGTACAATGACATTTACAATACTTCTTAGGCTAAGCTTTTTAACAACAAAGTGCTATTGTTAAACTGTAGTTAACTTTAGTAATTCAGTTTTCACTCTAGTAAATCAAAGTATTTTTTCTATGAATTTCAGATACATATATCTTATCGTTTTTAATTCCGACAAAGAATTTTCTTATGATAAAAAGACCTGTGTTCACACATTTATTCAAAAAATTACATTATTCATTGATATGTAATTGAAGAAATATTAAGGCTCTACTTCTTCAAAAAGCTATAAAGTAAAAGTTTCGTAGTATATCAAAGTATCGTAAAGTTAACTGTAGTAAAATTTTGTAAGATCTATGCTAGATATATTCATGAACATAATTACTAACCCTGTTAATGAGAAAAAAAAATCTTTACGAAATTGACTATATGTATGAAACTGAGCAGTATACATACATGTACATGACAACTAAATGTTTATTCTCGTGCAACTTTATTTAGTAGCTCTGATAGTTAAAGATTTAGTCCTGAATTCATGTCTCTCAAAACATTTCACAATAATGTCAATATTACGTCTTTCCAGTTACCAGATAATCGTGTTATTCTACTCTGATATAATAACATCGACCCGTTTAAATTTGTTCTTCAATTTAAAATTGGTACGTTTTTACATGTCATGTTCAGGTGCGTATTAATGTGAAATATACATATAAATATGAATAAACATATAAATTCAGTATATACATATAATGTATATGTACATATACATTAAAAGATAAGATTACTTTAAGTCCAGTTAAATGAAAAGAAATATCTAAAAACGTATTTCAAGATCATTTATAATGTTGTCAGTAGTATAAGGAGTCCCGCTAGCGCGGAAGATTCTGATTGGCTGAGAGAAAATCACGTGATTTGATTGGTTGAGGGGATAGGTGGGTCAACTGAGTGCAGTCCTAACCCTAACCCCTCTAACCCTAGCCCCCTTACCCTAACCCTAACCCTAACTAACCCTATCCCCTAACCCCCCTAACCCTAACCCCTAACCCTAACTAACCCTAGCCCTAGGGGCTAGGTGTGTCAGTACATATAGTCCCCCTTAAATACTGGGTGTTTACACTGTGTTTACATTGGTACGTTGGTACTACCTTTTTGTTTTTATGCTGACTGCACAGGTAAAAATGCGCCGTGTGCAAAAACATTTCAAGAATGTCATTATGACGTCACGCTTCACAGTCTAGACAGTCCTATAACCAGTTTGAACCGGTTTTAGTGAAAACAAGAACACACACAATACAGATTAGAACACAGATTTTATTCCAAGTGAAAATATACATACAATTTACATTTTCTGTTTCTTCTGGGCCTTCTCACTGGTCTGGGGTAGTTTCCTTTTGGTTTCCCTAGGTTTTCTTTCTATGTCTTTTACCGATACATAGCATGGCTCCATTTGTTTCTTACTCTCTCCTGATCCGCCCTGGGTCCCTTCTTTTTTCTGGTCAATGTTTCCTCCTTCTTCTCTCATTTTTGTCTCTTTCCCCGTGAATGACTTTGTGATTGGTGATAATAATCCACTAATGTAACAAAATCCACTGCTGTTATGACATTTCAGTTTTTCCATCTTGTTTTCAAGAGCACTCACCTTGCTGTTCAATTTATTCACCTTGTCATCCACATCATTCATCTTGGTGTTCATTTGATTTAGTTTGTTATCCAGAGCAGATAGCATGTTCACAATTCCGTCCAGAGTAGTGTTTAAAATGCTCATATCTTCTTCTTTATTCATGTCCTCAGGAAAATTAACCATGTCCAAATTCAAATCCAATTCCACTGCATCCTTTATTATCTCTGTCATGGGAGCTCCTACATATCCTTCAGGTGTCACATAATACTGGGAAATTTCTGAAGTATTCATCCTTGCTTTCTTTTTTTCACCTGTGTCCAGTTCGAAGTGCTCACGCAGAATGATCATCAAATTTTACAGTTTTTTAGTTTATATACCTGCTATGAGCCGTGTGCACCTTTTTACCTGGGCTTTATATACCTGTTCCATCATCTATAAAGGAGCCGTGTGCAAAAAACTGAGGGTCGAGTGCAAAAGAAATATACCTTTTACCTGTGTTTTCTTATATACCTGTTTGTACCCTCTATAAAGTGCCGTGTGCAAAAAGTACGATAAACTTACCTATGCATTGTGACGTCATCCACTGTATAAATACAATGTGATTATGACGTCACACTTTTTCATTTACAGTCTAGACAGCCTAGTCTAGCCAGCCTAACCAGTTTGAACTGAATTTTTTTACTGAAAGACAATAACAAATAACACACAATACAAAAAAACATGTGTGTGTTATGTCTGTCAAGTTATAACACCAGGTCACTTTTTAAAAAAAAAACTTAGAATTTCTTTTTAAATTTTTTAAACTTTTTTTAAAATTAACTTTAAATTTTTTATCTTTTAACTTTTTTAAAATAACTTTAATTTTTTTTTTTCTTATAAATTTTTTTTTTGGTAAACTCCCCTTATAGTTTTTAAGAAATAAAATTAAAAAAAAATCATGTAATACCACATCAGTGTTATGTTATTGTATGACTTCATCTTTTATACATTCGGGTTCGGGGTTTCGGGCGGCCATAGCGAATTTCAGCAAGATTTTACCCCAGTGAAAAAGGCTTGTAATCCACAGTGTAGGTCGTTTAAAGTTGTTTCACATTGTTTATGATTGTGATTATGTTATTGCTCACCTATATGTTTAATGTCAGTTATGCTAAATAATCCATTTCTGTGTAATTTGAGAGAATGTTTTGACATGTGGTTAAAGTATGGCGTGCTATTCATGTTATCATTTAAAAAGTCTATCCTAAATAAATCTGTCTTAAAAAATACATTTTACGAATGACATTTAATATGATTGATTAGAGTATAGGTATCCATATATAAGAGAT